ATGTATGTATATATTGATTTGTGACAATTTTCTGATTAAATCCCATAGCGGCAAACGTTTTTGCAATTCTTTCTCACCGTCCCAAATGTGTCTTCATCTAGTGTCTTTAAATATATTCAAGATCACTCATTTAAATTCTCTTTGTTTTATTCAATTAAAATTCATTTTTTATTTGCGGGGGAATGTTTACAATCTTTCTTTGTCCGACATAAAAAATAAGAAGAAAATTATGGGGATATATATATATAACTGTTTTTGCCACACATCAATATTTTTATGGATTTGCGAAGTACAGATTACCAACAGCAAATTTATGTTCTAAAACAATTGTGACCATTCGATGTGGAAAATAAATGGTATCGATCTTTAAAAAACCAGTGACTATCAATTTTGGTTGTAGTAATTTTGAATGTTTTATTAGCATTATGTTCTCATAGGATACCAGTACCAACAAAGTTAACATGCACATATGACCAAAAAACATGCACATATCATGACAGCGACGTTGTCCAAGTCAGTTATACATGTAAAATGTGCAAGTTAATTATACTAATACGATTTAATAATTCAAGCTAATTAATTATTGAAAATGAATCAAGTTATAAGCTAATGAGGAATCGTAAAGCATTACGCATCACAAACGATCCATTTCGGATCAATTATTTTTCTTTTCAACTTTCACCTTCCCTAAAATGCAATTACCTATTCACGTACGTGACTTGTTTGCTTTACAACAAGTTAATGTGTCTACTTTTACGCGAGAATAAAGCATGCACTTTTTAAAGATGTTTGCATGAACTTGCGAATCAAGTTTTGCATGTGTATATATAGGTGTGTTCTAAATCCCTTCTGCATCAACTCAATTTTCTCTAGCTAGCTCTTATTAAAAAGTATTAAAAAAAAACTTACTTTGCTAATTTTTCCTTTTTCTCATTCTCAAGATGGATCCCTTGTTCGAGAAGATAAAGTCCAATATCGGCACTGCGAAGATGAATGTGGATATAGCCCATACAGTTCAGAGGGAAGCTATTGACTCGGGTCTGGAAGACGAAGCGTTCAGAAACGTGACTAACCTGATCAATAAATTTATGACTGAAACAAGCTCCGCAGCCGAAGTGATTGACCAGCGCTTGCAAAATCTGCGGAGGTACTCAAATTCTTTTTTTTTTGTTGCTAAAAAGAGGTATTCAAATTCATACCGCAATTTTCGTCGAGAACTTGATGCGACCGACCAGTTGGCTGATATTGTCTTGGCGAGTTCACAACTTGCGTTGGAACAAATGCACAAGGCGGTTGCTAATGCAGAGGAATGGAGAATAAGGCAAGGACCGTAGCAGGAGGAAACAATGCATGATGAAGACGATAATTCATACTATATATATCGTAGTAAAGTAAATGATGCATAAGAAAATAATGATATCTTTTGTTTCTTTAGCAAATGTGTTGAAGGACCTTATATTAAAACGGATCTTTAAATAAACGTGTGACTAATTTGGGTTGTAATAATTTTAAGGAT